TGAAGAGAAGGACGAGGGGGGACATGATAGCAGTGTTCCAGTATCTCTGGGGCTGCCACAAAGAAGAGGGAGTGAAGCTACTTCCAAGGCGCCTGAAGGCAGGACAAGAAGCAATGGATGGAAACTAATCAAGAAGAGAAGCAACCTAGAACTAAGGAGCAACTTCCTGGCAGTTAGAACAATTAACCAGTGGAACAACCTGCCTCCAGAAGTAGTGAATGCTCCAACACTGGAAGTTTTTAAGAAGAGACTGGACAGCCATTTGTCCGAAATGGTATAGGGTTTCCTGCCTGAGCAGGTGGTTGGACTAGATGACCCCAAGGTCCCTTCCAACTTTATTATTATTATTATCGATCATCGCACAGTCAGCCAGATGTTCAGACTGGATTTGGCATTTTGTCTACCTATCGAGTCTTTACCCAGGACCTGGGATAGGCAGATGTGGATGTTTGATGGTATTACAGATATCGTCGCAGGATGGAAGCAGTTCCTAGTAAGGCCGCCTTTTGCAATTGACTAATAGCGAATTTGTCAATGCCAATGGTGTTCAAGTGGTGCTCCAGTTGTTTTGGGACTGCACCCAAGGAGCCTATGACTATTGGTACTACCCTTGCTTGCTTTTGCCACAGTCTTTCTATTTCTATTTGTAGGTCTTTGTATTTTGTTCTCTTCTCCAGTTCTTTCTCTTCTATTCTGCTATCTCCAGGCACTGCCACGTCCACTATCCAGACTCTTTTGTCTTTCTTATCGACAATTGTTAAGTCTGGGGTGTTATGTTGCAGGTGCTTGTCTGTTTGAATTCTGAAGTCCCAGAGCAGTTTAATTTTATCATTTTCTATGACTTTCTCTATTTTAAGATCCCACCAGTTTTTGCTTACAGGCAAATGATATTTTTTGCAGATCTTCCAATGCACCGTTGTTGCTACTTTGTCATGCCGCTGCTTGTAGTCAGTCTGTGCAATCTTCTTGCAACAGCTTACCAAGTGGTCCACTGTTTCTTCAGCTTCTTTGCATAGGCGGCACTTACTGTCTGTTGCTGTCTTCTCAATTTTGACTTTGTATGCATTTGTCCTTAAGGCTTGGTCTTGTGCAGCCAGAATTAGTCCCTCGGTCTCTTTCTTCAATTTACCCCTCAGAGAGCAATAGTATATTGTAAAATGCTATATTACCAGATAATTTTCTTTAATAGAAGTAAGTCAGTATAGCTGAATCTAAAACTGAACAGTGGAAAAAGAAATATTCTACAGGGACAATATTTATATATTTGGAAACAAAAAGAAGGGAGAGGACTCCCTTGTTGCAAAGCAAGGGTACTTTGGAATCCAGAGAATTATAAGCAGAAAATTCAGAAATGGCTACAGATTTCTTTCAAAGATGCCTGTTGTAATTTCAGAACATTCATAGGTGGGAAAAAATATCTTTAGATGCAGTCTTTCTCGTCATTTTGGTACTGCCATGGGAAAAGCCACATGGTGATATTTTGTCCCTATATAAATCATTTGAAAATCCTTCCATAAATGTGTTCTGCAACAACAATGAAATCCAATGATTGGATAATAAGACAAACCAATTAGCTGGCCAAAAAACCTTCACATTCTTCCATGAGACACAAGCATGATGGGCAGCAGCATCAGATGCTACACTAACTTTGTGGCACTTGAAGAAAGGTTTAACTTAGAAGGCGTCTATGGAGATTCTCAGTCATCCAGGTCATAGTTATCCCAAAGATGCTTTTTTTTTCCCCACGAGGCAACTGGACTTCCTTGTTTTTCTTTGAACACCTTTTGTTTCTTATCCAAGAAGCTTCTTCAGGTCTGACTGGATTTTCATTTCCATTCTCCACCATCCAGTCAGAGCTGAAGAAGTTTCTTGGATCTACAGCAGTGGTTCTCAACCTTTTTAATGCTGCGACCCCCAACCGGTCGTAAGTCAAGGACTACCCAACCGGTTGTAAGTCGAGACTACCCAACCGGTCATAAGTTGAGGACTACCCAACCAGTCGTAAGTCGAGGACTTTCCCTGCCCGGGAGCACCGCGCATGCGTGGTGCCGCCCCCTGCGCCAGCCGAGGCGTAGCTGGCAAAGGGCAACGACGGCACAGGCGTAACTGGCAAAGGGCAACGACAGCCACTAGCTGGCCCAGCCCAAGGGAGGTAAGACACCCGCCAGGCCCCACGCAGGAGTAGCTCATCTAAGGAAAAGAGGAAAAAAATGGTGGACAGCCTTGTTTGGCGACCCACGTGAAATGGTCAATCGACCCCAAATGGGGTCATGACCCATAGGTTGAGAACCACTGATCTACAGGATCTATTTATTGGTATCAAAGGAGATGAATCCATTGTACTTATTGGCTTTACAGAACCCACACAAAGTTTAAACCAGTGCTTATATACCAGACGTAATAGGAATCATATAGTACATGCACTGTCCTATGATTTAGTGCATTTTGTGACAGCATCAGCCTTTGATGATGATGATGATGATTTATTAAATTAAATTCCTGCCCAACTCTAAGCAATCTGGACAGCTTAAATTTTTTTAAAAAAACATTTAAAACAAGTAAACAACACAAAGCAAAATGGAGCAAAGGTGTGTGTTGGAATGTGCAGCTGAAGAAGAAAGGAGGATATGTTGATAATAGTATAGTAGCTTTCTAAGGAGGAGGCAATACATTTCAGGTAGGGGCCCAAGACAAGAGACTGCAAAATCTTGAACTGGATGTTGGGGGGAGGAATTAAAGGAAAAGTTCAGGATAGCCTAGAACAGGGGTAGGCAACCTTGGCTCTTTTATGACTCCTGGACTTCAACTCCCAGAATTCCTGAGGCTCAGGAATTCTGGGAGTTGAAGTCCAGGAGTTATAAAAGAGCAAGTTTGCCTACCCCTGGCCTAGAATCTCCCAGATGTATTTGTTAGATTAGAAGGTTAATCCGGCAAGATTCTGTCTATTAGGTGTAAGCAAACACAGAGCTGAACTCAAGTGGATCTTGCTATGTCATCTCCGGGGCTTAGGCCTGACAAAATGGCAGAGATAACAAACCATGAAGGAACATAAAAAGCGGGGGGGGGGGGAGGGCCTTCAATCACATTCGCCAAAGGCAAAGAGCCAGGCTTTCAGGAGTCCTTGAAGACACCAGTAGAACATTCAGATCTCAGCAGGAACCTCATTGCAGAGGGCAGGTGCTATTACAGATAAAATACAGTTCTGGGTTCTAATAGGTGTCATTATTTAATTGAAGGAGCATAGAGGATGCCAACCCTGCCAGATCAGATCAGATGGGCAGACACTATGAGAGACAGGTAGTTTCTCAAGTATTTTTTTTAAAGAACAAATTGCAAAAGAAGAAAACAAATTAAAAAAAAACATAGCCAATCAATGAGCAAGAGTCAACAAATATGGGACGGAATTCTCTTGCATCCTCCCATTTGCTTTTCTCCATTATGCTGCAACACCCCAGTGGATTTATAAGTAAGCTCGTGGGAGTTCCCTGAGACTTGCTCCCAATTTAACTTATATGTAAGTGTGCACTGTTCCTATTATCAATCAGAGTTTCAGATTGATTAGTATAATTTCACCATCCCTATGAAGTCTGATCCTAGGCACATGCTTTTTGATCCCAGCTATTCAGCCAAAACATCAAGGGAAAAATTACTGGCATTTTACCCACTTTTTAAAGCTTATATCACCCAGCTTTTTAAAAAAAATGCTGGCTCAGTTCCTTCTATGCGCTAAATGAAAATTCACCTTTGTTTGGGACCCATTCAAAAGCGACTGAGATGTTTATGTTTGTAAGAAAGGGCTTTCTATACACCTGCAGAGTCTATTCTCTCTGCTTCCTGATTTCCGGAACATAAGAAGGCAGACTACTGGAATAACAGTCACCTCTCATTTCAGCCTGCATAGAAACAGTTCAGTTCATGCCTGGATAACCCCCTTGCTTAACATGCACCCTTTCCTGCCAACTAAAAAATTCAATTTCCCAACAGGCACTCATGCATGTTGAATAAAAGGCATCTTGATCTCCCAACAGAGAAAAGCTTTTTTATTTAGCAGGATCCTCCATATACTGATGATACCTGTCCAAGCAGTCCTTTAAAAGGACAGTATTCCATAGGAAACAATTTTGAATGACAGCCATAGTTGCATCTTTCTGTTAATACCCAATAAATTCTTCTAAGGTGCAAAAAATTCTTACCAGTTTCCCAGGCATTAAAGCTTACAGCCCCCTGACATTTGAAACAAATCCTTGCTATTGTATTCTCAACCTCATCGGAAATGTATTTTAAAGCAAATACGCACAGGAGAGCAATTTCCATTGTTTAAAAATAATCCAATGGGTGGGTTAAACGCACACATGCATAAGATAGTTCTTCAAACAGAGCAATTGTTGCTGCCTCAGATTTGGAAATCAGTTTTCCAAAGGCACCAAGGTACAGGTTCTCCACACTTTTAAACCACAATTGTAGTCCTGGGCTGGCCAGCAAATTTCTCCCTCTCTCCCCCTCCCCCTCCCTCCAGGCAGATGTGTGGGTTTCCTAATCTCATTTGTGCTGGGGAGTGGGAAACCCACACACATTGGCCTCACCTAGGAGTTGCAGGGTTTCCCCACCAAAAAAACTTTCCCAAGCAACCCGAACAAAGCCCTTTTTAAAAAAAAAGCAAGCGCGAAAAATTAAGCACCAAACCCCATCATCAAGTCGGGTCCCCAACTCTTTTGCGCCTCTGGAATTAAGAGGAGAGCAAGCACGTGGAGAGGGGAAAGCTGGGAGGAGAATGAAAAAGTCCGCACTTTCCAAACTACGCCTTGCTTCCGCGGAAAAGCTCCAGGCAACGGCCCAACCGCTCAACCCAAAGGAGGAGCTTACAGGAACTGGCCTCTGCTTTCCCGTCTCCAGCTTCACCGCTTTAACGTGGGTGCAGGCGGGACGCCAGCGGGAGCCCCGGACGCCGGAAAGGGCGCGCAGAGGCGGCGGCTGTTGCCGTCCCGTTCAGAGACCCTTACCAATTTCATGGTCAGGTTGTTCTGCTCCCAGCGCCACAGCATCACACTCATCTTCCTCCGCCAACATCTGCCGAGGGCCAGCTAGGCTACAAGCCCATTAGCTCCAGCCCTGCGTTGCCAACCGGACGCTTCCTAATCCAGCGGCTGCGGAGAGCATCTCTGCCTCTTGAGCGCAGATCGACCTCCTCCTCCTCCTCATCATCATCTTTGGCCGTCTTTGGAAACGTAGGGTTTTTCCTGGCCTCGCATAGCCGGGCTTTTTGACGCGCGCCGCCGCCTTGCTCCTGCTCCCGCCGTGCTCTTTGAAAGGCGCTCAGGGGGGGGGGGCAGCGTGACGAGGAAGTCGTCTCCCCTTTTCGCCGCGGCTGCCAGCGCTTCGCAGTTTGGGCACTCCCGACTCAATGGGCCGTTCGCGGAGGCTGAAGAAGAGAGTCGCGTTTAACCATTTCGGGGGCGGAGCCGGCCGAGGAACTGGGCAATCTTTTGCAAAGCGACCCTCCCACCTTCTCCACCCTGGGCTGCGCTCCCGGAAGGTGCAGCAGGTGGAGACGTTTAAAGGCTCCTGGGGCCTGGCAGACTTCCAGCTAACATAATGGGAGTTGTAGTTCCAAGCGTTTGAAGGGAGCATGAGGGGAACCCACCTACACACACACACACACACACACACACACACCCGCAGATCAGATAGAAAGGAAAGCTGGCAGGTGTGCCAAAGAGAAGAGCTTGACCTACTCTCTTGTATATATGACTACAAGCAGGTGGTCAGTGCTGGAAGGATCTTGATCCCTTCAATTCAGAATGTGCAAGTATTCCAGCCTTCCCCATTCTGACCTCCTCCAGATATGCTGGAATACAATTTTTCCATCATGCTAAAAGAGGAGATCTTGTCCAATACCTCTTGTCCAAGACCACCAATTTCCCAAAATCTCAGACAAAACTTTTGTCTCTGTTCTGTCTTTCTAGTTACTCTAAAATGTTTGGCAGAATGTAAAACAGAATATATAGAAATACTACCGCTTTCATTATGCTGCCTGTTATGTTTTTTTTATTATTATTATTTTTTGGTTAAAAGTGGCTCTTAGGATCAGAATTGTATGTCCAACAACAATCCAGGTCAGGTGTAGGCAACCTTGGATCTTTTATGATTTGTGGACTTCAACTCCCAGAATTCCTGAGCCAGCATGGCTGGCCAGGAATTCTGGGAGTTGAAGTCCACAAGTCATAAAAGACCCAAGGTTGCCTACACCTGATCCAGGTCTAAACACCTACATTATTATTAACAGTTGGTAGAAATCTGTCCCTTCCTATGTTTTTAATAAACATTGGCTTTGCCTGTGCAACACGTTATCCTGCACTAGATTACTGAATTGCCTGATTTTGCAAGAAACACTGAAACATAACCACTACAACGAGATTCATACAGCATACTGAGCTGAAAACTAGCCAATAATATTTTAACTTAGCATGTGACATGAATCCAGTATCTAGAGCAGGGGTCTTCAGACTTGGCCCTTTTATGACTTGTGGACTTCAACTGCTAGAATTCCTCAGCCAGACACACTGGCTGAGGAATTCTGGGAGTTGAAGTCCACAAGTCATAAAAGGGCCAAGTCTGAAGACCCCTGATCTAGAGTTTCAACTATCCTCTGCTTCAGCTTTTATACTGATGGAGGTCAGCCTTACACTTGCATGCAAGAAAAGAGAAGCAAAAACACCAGACCACCTTATAGACCATCCAAAGGTGCAACAGATACAAAATCTTACCTTGCCTCTTTCTGTACCCATCAGGAAAGCATGCAGAACATTTTCCCCAATCCTAGAAGTGGGGAAGACATCACTTTTTTTTCTTTTGTATACTTATGTACATACATAAACATACAAAAACCAGCTGAGGGACTTTGAGATAGTCACTCTCCCTCAGCCCAACTCATCTCACAGGGTTGCTGTTGTTGTGGAGCAATAAAAGGAGGAAGGAATGTTATGTTTGTTTGCTGCCTTGAGTTATTTATAAAATAACTTAAAAAGGAAGGAAGGAAGGAAGGAAGGAAGGAAGGAAGGAAGGAAAGAAGGAAGGAAGGAAGGAAGGAAGGAAGGAAGGAAGACATTTCCTCCAGGAACTCAAGTGTGTTCACAAGTGTTATCTCTATAGTGAGTGTGTGCATATGTGTGTGCGTGAGTGTGCTTCATTGACAGAGAAAATCTTCCCAGTTATTTGGTACCTGAAAGACTACATCCAGGATGCTTAACTACTATGAGAAAAGGTTGCTGCAAGTTGGCAAGCAGCATTAGATGCATGACTTTCAGAAAGGTCAAAGGTAGCTGCAAAGAGCCAATGACAAATGAACACATAAATGAAAGTGTGAGGGAGGCTGGAAGGAAGGAAGAATAGCTTGGATGAAAAGCCAAAGGGATTTCTAAGGGAATTATGTAAGTTCTCTTAACCACTGCTTGCATAAACTGCCAGGGCCTTTAGAGATTTTTTTTGTAGTTGAATTTAATTTGTCCCTTCCACTCTGCTTTGGAAATGTGACACCAATTGTTTCTCCATTCCCTTGGTCCTGCACTTGAGGTTCCCAGTTATGCCTGGAAGAAGATGCAGGCCAGAACACATATTTAGGAAAGGATGTGGTTCAGAGTTCTAAGCCATATCACTTCTAAAGTCTTAAAAGCAATTCTCTGGAATTAACAAATGAAAGGAAGAGGTAGAATTGAAACAGTCTGGATTCTCATATGCACTAAATCATAATGTAGTTTGTTTTTGGTGTAGCATATTGGTGAACTATGCCATGTGGTAGGTAAATTATGGCTCATGAATCAAGATATTGTGTAAACCAAGGACAGTATGTAGACATCATGGCTTAGCTGAATGTGGGAACTGTCTTTGTCTCTCTAAACAGACATCAATTCTATTATCAAGACAGGAATAACAAATTAGATTTTATTTTGTCAGGTCTTTCTGTCCCCCGCGCACCCCCCCCATTTTCACTTATGAATCCCTATATTCACATGTCATGCTAAACTAAAGCTTAACCATCCATTCTTAACACATTTGAAGAATTTTTATTTATTTATTGTGATTTTCCTTGCAAGATCTGAATTATTTTTTTAAATCTCCTGTTGACTTTCATAAGTAAAGTATGGAATCATTTCAGACAGTCAGTTAGAAGTTGTTGAATATGGAGTAACCAACTGAAGATAGACTGACTGCAGACTCATAGCTAAAATTACTTTTGAAGTTCTTAAATGGGTGCTCCAGCATCAAAGGGTTTTTTGGTCAGGGTTTATCTGAGGATTTCTATGCCATGCAAGGGGTTAAATTAGAACATGTCCAAAGTCCAGTCCAACACTATGATTCTGCATAACAAAAATCTATAGACTGCTAATATTGTGATGTATAAAATAATAAGCATGCAAAGTGTAATGAGTTGCATATAGCAAAAGGAATAAACTACATAAATTTTAATTTGTACCTACCACATTTTCAAATCATCAAACTTTAGTTAGCACCCCACCAGCAAAATGCACTCTGATTTAGCCATATTAATTTCATGGAGATATTTGTATCGTGGAAGAAAAATAGATTTTTCTTTCAATAGAATTCAACCTAAAGAAAGCTTTATTCCAGAAATTCCAGTAATTGTAAGTTGCAACTGATTTTCCTTTCCTTCCCTTCCCTTCCCTTCCCTTCCCTTCTCTTTCCTTTCCTTCCCTTCCCTTCCCTTCCCTTTCCTTTCCTTTCCTTCCCTTCCCTTTCCTTCCCTCTTTCCTTTCCTTTCCTTCCCTTCCCTTCCCTTCCCTTTCCTTTCCTTTCCTTCCCTTCCCTTTCCTCTTTCCTTCCCTTTCCTTTCCTTCCCTTTCCTTCCCTTTCCTTTCCTTCCCTTCCCTCTTTCCTTTCTTTCCTTCCCTTCCCTTCCCTTTCCTTCCCTTCCCTTTCCTCTTTCCTTTCCTTCCCTTCCCTTTCCTTCCCTTCCCTTTCCTTCCCTTCCCTCTTCCCTTTCTTTCCTTCCCTTCCCTTCCCTTTCCTTCCCTTCCCTTCCCTTTCCTTTCCTTCCCTTTCCTTCCCTTCCCTCTTCCCTTCCCTCTTCCCTTTCTTTCCTTCCCTTCCCTTTCCTTTCCTTTCCTTCCCTTTCCTTTCCTTTCCTTCCCTTCCCTTTCCTTTCCTTTCCTTCCCTTCCCTTTCCTTCCCTTCCCTTTCCTTCCCTTCCCTTCCCTTTCCTTTC